GCTTATTGGGAGGCTGAGGCAGGAGAATTGCTTGAACCCGGGAGGCAGAGGTTGCGGTGAGCCGAGATTGCGCCACTGCACTCCAGCCTAGTGCCTGGCAATGGAGCAAGACTCTGTCTCAAAAAAAAAAAAAAAAAAAAAAAAAAAAAAAAAAAAAAAAATTTTTTTGATATAAAAAGGTAAATGTTTTACTTTTTTTTGTCAGCTCTGCTTCATTTGTTCTCAGATTAGCTACTTGTCATTTGTTCATCTCAGGAGACAAACCAAGCCTCGGCAACTGGGTGAGGTTGGGCTAAAGGAAGGACCAGGAGTTCTGCAGGGCAAGGCATGCTGTGGAGGGAAGGCTGCTGATACTTAGCTTGATGTTGAAACTGGGGGTGAGCATTACAGGTGGAGAGTGAGAAAACAGTGAAAGGAGAGCAAAACCAAGAGGTGCTTCCAGAATTTTGCTACCCAACTGCTCACACGTGGCCATTGGCCTGGATAAAAACGAAGATGCTGTGACCACTCTTCAGGGCTGGCTCCAGAAGGAAGAGTGGTCAAGTAGCTAGTCTGTGCTAATGGATTACTTAGAGCAAAACGTTCTTACCACTGAATAACCTGTTTTTTTTTTTTTTTTTTTTTTTTTTTTTTGTAATTTCACCAGGAAAAGGTTCACTCACTCTTGAGACCCCTACTGAAATCACATTTTCTAGGAGTCAAGTATTTACCTTGATGGGTTACTTTGGCTTCATTTTTTATAAAAGTTAGAATAAACAGTGCTGAATAAAAATGGATTTTTAAATTAATATCCTAAGTGTTTGATTCTGGAATTTCTCAGAATTATTTAGATAAAATTTGAAAGGCAGAGAAAAAACATTTTAAGATTTATCAGTGAACATGAAATAATCCTAAATGTCTTACACAAAATGGCCCAGAAAAAAATTAATTACGTAATGTCACTTACTAGTCTGATAACAAATTGAAAATCATGAGGTCATGATTTTCTCTAAGTCAATGTAGACTAAATCTCTCAACTCAGATAAAAGCTCCAAAATTTAATGCTCTATGTATCTGTTTTTCATAACTTTTATGAAATATTTCTGTACCAGTGATAACCTTCTTTGTTATAGTACCTGCTCTTAAAAACAACATTAAAAACCTTTTATATCATGATTATCCATGGTTATATAAACTTATTGGAAAAAATGTTTTGATCATTAGGTACCGCACCAGAAGGCTTAATTCAATCTTTAACTGCAAAGATTTGACATTAACTATGAGTGAATATCCAACTTATCTAATCAACAACAACAAGATTTTTCATACAATAGAGGGAGCAGTGTGAATGTGATTATAGAATTCTCAATAAGGTTTTTACTTAAAAACTACATAATGCACATCCTTTACAGCAGTAAGTGTGTAATCACATCAGATTTGATAAGAAATTTCTTCATGAAGACACAGTACAATCAGGCATAGAGAATTTCAAGATATAAGATAATTGCTAAACAACTGACATAATGTTACACACATGGGATACGACAATTATAGAAATACATTCCATGAAAAACATAAAAGACATTGAACTCCAAAGAGTATAAAGAAAACATAAGAGACTAGAAATACGTGGCAAGTGGAGGGGGTTGTTACCCCTCGTTAGTAGCAGTAGTTGTATAGAAAACAATTTTCTTTGAACTTTGGGAAATTAGTGTTTTTCATGCCTCTGTACTTTATTTCTTGTGGTACATAAGGTAATAGAGTAGATTTTTACAATATTTTCTCCATTGATATATTGTCTCTAAAAAACCTATTTTTTTTTTCTTTTTGGCTTCATGCAATTTGAAAACTAATTGAATAAAATTTAGTGGAATTTACTTTTTCTTGACTTGTGACTTGTAGGAAGTAGAAAAGGCATTTGTTGTAAAACTAACTGACACTGAGAAGCTTTCTAAATAGTAATTACTAGCAAGATTTCTTTTTTGAAATGCAGTTGATTGTTATTACAATTTACATCAAGTGCATTATATTATTACACTAGTATTAAAATAATAATAGCCCTCCTCACAATTCGGGTCCATAAACAGGTTTGGGATTTTTTGCCATTCTGATATTTCAGGTTTAAACATAGCCTGACAAATTTTATAAACATATTTACCTTAATCTTCATTAAAACAATGTGTACTGGGAGTGATATTCAAGGTCATTGTATCTGCCACTTGCAATTAACTCATCAATAATTTATAACACGGGTTTAATGGCCAATAAATTCTCCACACTTTGGAAATTTAGAAGTAAATTTCCTCACGAACTAGGAGTAATCTTTAGCCAAGACTAAATATTCAAGTATGAAGGTTTTCATGGTTTTGTAGAAATTCAGAAATAACAAGTTAAAATGGATTTGGTATTAGATAAAATTATATCATTCCTATTGATAAAAATAGCTCAATGATATTGACAACTTAAATCTTTGAAATATAGCAAAGAGAGAGAGAGAGAGAGAGAGAGAGATACACATTCAAACAATAGCATAAAACAGTCCCAACATATTTCTTTCGAAAGATGTCTTTGCATTTGTGTCATTAACAAATAATGAGGTAAATAGTTGTCTCTTTGTTTCATAAGATTGGCAGGTTTTGGGAACATCCGTTTCTTGTCCCGTTAAGGTAATCATACTAAATCTAGACCCTTTAGAAGGTTCCTGGATTCACGTGTTTACTGCTATGTACATAGTCTACATTCCCAGAGTTTCTTTTAAGTACTAGTTTTATTTTATTTTATTTCTTCTTCCAGGCAATGACCAGTCTTAGAAACTATCTGTTTCTGCAAAACACTTTAGTAAGTTTAAATAAGATAGGGATTTGAAACTTTTAAAAACTCAAGTCATTCAGGTGGACAAAAGCACCCAAGTGCCTTAAAACCAGTCTTCCTTCACACTGCACTCATAACACAGTAGCAATTGTTTTGTAGACTGTTATTTTTCTAAGATGACAAGAGTGAGAATCAACACTGATACTTAGTTTTTTCCTTCAGACATCCAGCCACATTGACGGTAGTGATGACGGTGGCCCCTGTTGTAGACAGATACCTGTGCGGTAAAAGACATTATTTCACGAAGGCTAATAAACTGATGTCAGGTGGTATCACTTAAAGCAGTGGATCTCAAATCTTAAAGAGTTTCAGAATCACCTATAGGGGTTGCTAACACACATCTTCTGGGCTATCACCCCTAAAGTTTCTGGTTAAGTAGGTGTGGGATAGGGTAGAAACTTGCATGTCCAGTAAGTTCCCAGATAATGCTGATGCTGATGGTATGGAAACCACATTTTTGAGAATCACTGATTTCGAGCAAAGGAATTCTGACGTCCCATCTATCATATAATTGCTGCTCTCTTAGTCTTTTCCTTTCTCTCCCCGCTTCCCTCCCAATCTCTCATCCTTTTCTCTCTCTTAAATTCTAAATAAGTGTTTTTGGGTCTAAGGAAGTTACTCTTCCTCTGAGCTATTACTTGGCTATTAAGGCATATTATCAATGTTATTTGAAGTTATCCTCAAACTATTTAAAGTGCTGTCATCGCAATCTGAAATTTACAACTCTCCTTTCATGCAGCATAAATAAGAAAAGAAGTTCTGAAATATACAAAGGGGAGAAAGGAGAGCGTTAAAATACTTTGCTTTCACTGATATAGTTGATATTTTACAACGTGATCTCAATAAACCTTGTATAAGAAGATAGTTTTTGCTTTGAGTCATAAAAGGCACAAGGTAACAGAATCCTAAATTCCAAGATTTGAAAACAAATTGTGGATAATTAGGTTGTATTACTTTTCTCTGAGAGTAATGACAAAATGAGAAAATAACAAAAATTAATTTTCTGTGAAATTTTTTATACTGTGTTCCATATCTTTTGTTTTAAGACAATCAGAACACCTGTTACCATAATATGAGGTGAAAATCATCTTTCATAAACACTTATTTTACTTTTAATTTTCAGGTAAATATTCAAATCTTAAGAATTTTTCAGGGAAATACATTTGAATATTCAGTGCTTTGACTCCTAGATTTCACATTTTCTACAAAAGATACGATAGTCTATTCATTTATGTATGAGTTATGAGCAAGCCCCTCTATTCTTTAACCACCTGGTACTCAGCCCCAGGCCCAGATGGAATCCACTGACATCAACTGTCACTGTAATTAAATTGAAAACAAAGTGCAAATGTGCTACAAAGTTTCTGGTGAAGACCACTGTCCTTGGTAGCTTCGCTGGTCTGCCATGACCTAGAATTGTCCCCCAGATTTTTTGTTGCCTTGCACTCTGTCAACATGTCTCCCTCACTAGACTGCAGCTCTTTCAAATGCAAGTTTGCATCTATCCCACCTCATTCCCTAGCACCTAGCACAGTGGTGCATTTTTAATTTAATCCAGCAAGGTTGACTATGTCATTTTTTGTTGTTGTTAAAAGAGCATAATGATATGATTTCACTTATTCTTAAGTGTTAAAGTCTTTCCTTATAGATGAAAATTATGTTAAAACTTTTACTGTAATAGAGTCTTACTGGCCATATGTTGAGACAAGAGATGTTAGTAATGGTCAATTTACAAACCTGAGAAAATTGTGTAATTGAGTGAGTATGTAGTTTTGAAAGATAATTTTTGAATTACCTAATGCAATATGCTATTTTATATATAAATATTTTCTTAGATATCACATTATAACAACAGTCTTGTGATTTTTCAAAAAAAACCTATTAAGTCAACTAACATGTCTATTATTAATTCAGAATTAGTAATTGCTACTTCTTTTAGTAGCAAAAAAATCATTGGGTAGATTTTGGTAATTTTTAAGAACCAATTTAAATATGAGAGATTAAAATAATAAGGGATTATAAGAAGAGTTAGAAATGTTTAAACATTTAATTGACACACATTCTAATACATGAAACTAAAAGTGAAATCGTCTCAAATAAGTTCCTTTGAAGGTTAAACTTCTAACATATTTAAATCAAAAGTTTAGAAATCATTTTACACTGACTTTTTTCTAATCTCAAAAGAGCAACAGATTAAAAAAAAAAAAGAATTCGCAAGTAACTTTAGCTTCACATCAATAGGATAATAAAATTTCTGTTCCCAGTGATTTTAAAAAGGATAGTTTTACTCAAGTATCCTTGTCGTATAAATAAATATTCTACCAGTTTTGAAGTGGTCCTGCTCCATTGGCTGCTGGGAGTGTGCTTATGTTAGTGAGCACAACTTGCTCAGAAAGTTTTGATATGTTATCAAAGTTGCTGATCTGAGTGGTCAAGGACTTCCGGCTCTCCGTACTGGTTCTTGCCCTGGTGAGCTGATCCTCCTGGCGATGGTGAACTCCAAGGCAACAGCAAGAAAACGCAGCTTTAAATTCCTCTCGAAATTTTCCTGGCAAACCAGAGAGAATGAAAGGAAAAGGAATTATGTATGCATAAATGCTTCGACAAATCATGAACAGGGTACAACTGAGTTGCTCCCTTGAGCCAAACTAACAATGAGGTGTACTATTTTGCAAATATAGGGAAAATAGAAAAAGGAAATTGAGTTTATTAAAAGCTTGGTAGACTCTTGAAACAATGAAGTATTTCCATAAAATAATGAGGCTGCCTTTCATGTATGGTGCTTAGAGTTTGTTTCATTCCTTTATACTCAAACCTCATATATTTACGCTACAAATATTGGTATATTGTATCTACATAACTATAATGAAAGTGATCATCAGTAGAAGAATGCTCAGAGATATTTAATAAGTACACACAATGAAACATGTCATATAAAGTCAAAATCATACAAAAACTACTCCTGTGTTTTATTCTAAATAACTAATACCAAAACAATTAAATCCATAAAATATCTAGAAAAAACACATTCAGATATCTAGAAAATTTCCAGTTTTATAATCTATATAAGGAAGAACAAAAAGTGAAGAGGGAAAAATACCGTAGAAGATATTCCTTGTCTTCAAATTACATGGGAAATATTGGAGAACTATGAGAATGAATCAATCACTTTTATTACTGTGAATGGCATTATTAGGAATCATCATTTCTTCTCTTTTAGCCTCAGTTACCCACTGAGTGATTAGTGATTAAATGAGAAGATGAATGGTCCTGGGCCCAACATGATAGCAGTCACATTAACAAGTTATCAGTGATTTTGCCTCCTCTAGCTCACTCTTATCGCCATACTTGGACTTTTGACATCCTCCTGTGACTTCTGCTTCAAACACTTCTCATTATAACTTCCTCATAGCCTTTACCTGCTTAGCGTGAGGTTCAGAGCTTTAGACACTGTGCTAGATTTTTATTTCTCAACAACTTAATTGGTTGCCTTTTTTTTTTCAACCTATGCAACCAGAAAACCAAAGATAAAGTTGGAAGATGCATGTGATTTAATAAACACACCACAAAATGAATTTCTATTCTTCCACATCAAATCATCATATATTTGAAAATAGAAATAACAAAGAAATAGCCAATGAGTTGGATATTAAGGTAATGTAAAGATGTAGCTAATTAAAACATAATTCTAAAAGTCAATAAGGCAAAATGTGAATAAAACAATAGTGATGTAAGTGAATTTTATAATTATATTAATTCCATAAACAGATATAAATTGGATAAGTTATAGATATATGTAAGTTTATGTTATTTAACTTATGTGTTATCTAGGAGTAGTCAGTGGGAAATGTTGGGTAGTCAGTGGGAAATATTGAGATAAATGCAAGAGATGATACTCACAAGAGAAATGTAAATATAGCAAAATAGCTAAAAGTGAATAGGTCTCAATTCTATCTCAGGCTACACATTTTGGAAAAGGAATAATATAGCAAAGCAACACAGAACAAAATATTTTATACTTTTGCAAATCATGAGTTTAAAGTATGTCATGTAAAATTTTGTTATCGACTTCTCAGAATGTTTACTTTTCTTCTATTTATAACATTTCTTATAAGTATTACATGGAAAAAAATCACTTATTTTCTCTGATGAGCTCAGTAACAAATATTTTTATTTCAAAAAGGAACATGCTCAAGACAAATCAGGTCAGGGGAAAAAATATCTTGAGTAGCAACTGAACTCTTCATGTAATTGAAGAGTGGTCATTGATTCCTCATACTTGGTTAGAGCTGCCGCTTACAGAAGAAACAGTTGAAAACTCACCGCTGAGAAAATTATAAATAATTGGATTCGCAGCACTATTGGCATACACAAGCCAGTGTGAAAAGGTAAACCAGGCATACACAGTCTCTCTGTCTTCGGTATGGGTAAACATCCCAAATACTCTGTGGGAAAAAAAACAACAGAAAAGTACCTTTTAATAAAATAATTAAATTCAAAGGTGAACAAGGCTATTAGCAGAGGTTGGTCTGACCCCTGTCCTCCTCTGTTGCAGGCATTGACCGCAGATTGGATTCTGAACCCATAATTGGTTTAGAATACATTCGGTGCCTGAACAGAACCTTCAAGGCACAATTAATAAATCAAAAGCCAAGCCAGGTCAGAGAAGGTTCTCTCCCTCCCCAAAAAGAGCAGACGTGGTGTTTCCTGTGAGTAAGAATACAGAAGTATTCTTATTCTGTATATCTTATTCTGAACTTATATCTTCTTTATTTCATTTTCTAAATACAATTGAGTTATGTTGTATTAATATTCCATTACGTGTATTATTTGAAAAATCACTCCTAAATGATAGTCTTTAAATACTTCTTCCTACTTTCACTTATGTATTAATCAAAGTATCATATGCCTTCACCTCCAACCATCTTGGACTATCTGAAACTTGCCTTCTGGGACTCCTTAGTACCCAGAGAAGAAACAGTTCTCAATACGGAGAAATTTGGTAACTTTTTAAAATTAATGTGTTAATTTTTAACGTATTTTAAACTTTAAAAAATGTTTTCTTATGCTATCTTTAAAGACTATTTAAAAAATTTCTCCATACTTAGAAATATTCCATCTATCAAATTCTAATCACTAACCTACAACAGATAACTTACAGCTACTCAATAAGATTACAGGCCAAAGATGATATATTTTTCCTGCTAAAGTCTCCATCTTCGATTGCGTGATTTGTGTCCCATTTGTGTGTGTGTGTGTGTGTGTGTGTGTTTTACAACAAGAAAGCATGATAAAAATACACTTATGATATAAGGTGATGCTCTGAAGAGTACTAGACTTTTACGAAACTACTATATAGAGTGAAACAATATGAACAAAAGACATGTGTTGTCACTCTTTATCTATGTTATCACTCTTCACCTCAAAATATCTTTGGAATCCTGGACAAACCTGAACTGCTATAAAGAAACTGGTTTTGACTAATCTGGCAAAAAGTTAAGTTTTAAGGAGAAGCAGCTAGGAATGGTTTTTGTGGGAGAAAGAAAAAAAATTAACATGCAAGGACAAAGAATACAAACATTTGAAAAAAACGTGTGTGGTAACAAGAAAAACAATTTTCAACTTCTTTTTTTTTTCAAAAGCTTTTACGTTGTAGAAAAGAGGAAGATGCCCCAAAAACTTGAAATATTTTAAATTTAACATGGCCTCACTCCTTTGAAAGTTGTTTGCTTTTCTTGAAAAGGAAGGGATTTGAGTCAGAAGAATAAGACAAATATTACTAACCAAGAAAGTATTTGGAAATAAAAAGAAGGAGCAAATTCTGAGATACAGGAATCTAAATACCCAACCCAAAAAGAGGTAAATTCAATTTTCATTGAATTTAGACTGACTAAAAGAGAAAGAAGATTAAAAAGAGAAAGAAGAAACCCCATCCAGTAACATAACATGTTTATAAAGTTCTTAAAAGCAGAAGACACTATCTAGCAAGTGGCCATAATAAATTTGTATTAAATTTCTGCGAGAAAAAAAAAAAAGAGGCAAAGGATGAAGAGACATGAAGGACAAAATAATATCTGTTTTCTTGTAAGTCAGCATATATCTCAAGGACCCAGGCCACAAAAATTATATATCTTTAAGGCTGGGACTATAGGAAATAATATTACTAAAGAAAATTTTATTCTCCATTTCCTCGTCATTGAAAAAGCCATTAAACAATCAAAAACAGGGGCCAAAGAGAACGAGAACTCTCTGCAGCCGATTACACCACTTTTCTTCTCACTCCAGCCAATGCTCCCTCTCTCCAGAATTCCCAGCTGTGAGGAATATGATACTGACTCTGAATCAGGGAAAAGGGAGAGGAGCAATTCTAGCTTAAGTTAGAAGCCTGTTATAAACAGAATTGGTATTGCCTTGGGACCAGTCTATGTGCAACAGTTTTGATAATTCCCAATAAAGTTGGCTGGTCATGAAGTTTACTGGGTACTACTGCTTCTGTATCTGCTGTTCGTGGCATTGGTCAATTTCTTAAACTTAATAGTTTTGCCTGCAGTGTAACAAATAACATACTTTCTCTGATTTTTATTAATATTTGTCCTGAGGTGATTCAGTGACTTCAGGAAATTAATTTTCTTTCTTTCTGTTTAGACATTCGACATACACATCTGCCTTGATTGCTTTTTTTTTAAAGTGCTCGCCAATGCACTAAGTATAATGCAAATACTAACAAAAGATTCTTATCTTTTTCTATCCTTAAGATAGAATGCTCTCACAAGGGGCTATGCTTTTGAAAAAGAAGTTTTAGAAAACCAATTTGTTCTCATCAAGAAAGAACTACAAGCTGTAAACGAGATGCTACTTATTAGAACTTTGTCTGCATCTAAGGTTTAGCAACTAGCTTGAAGAGATGGAAGAAACATCTGTTTTATGTCTGCCATGCAACTGAGAATACGCATGGACAAGAGCACATGTCTGAGCACTCTTAAAGGCTCTTCGCCATACCTGCTGGCAACAACATAACTGAGTCTTCTGGCCTGGCAAGGTATCTAGGCAGAAAGTTTAGATTTTTCTCTGGCTGGTATAAAAAAAAAAGTTAATTAAGAACCAAGAAATGGCAAACTATTTCATTTTCAAATAACAGATACGTTTTACCTCTTTAGCATATTGAGGATGCTAATTGGTAGATAGCAAATTGCAAATACCAAAAGCACAACCATCAACATCCGAGCTGTTTTCCTTCTGGCTCGGATCTGTTTTATTTCAGCGGCCACAGCACTTATCCGGGACTTGGTCGGCTGTCCTGGCCCTCGACACTGCGAAACAGGCTGCAGGGGCTTCCATTTTCTCTGAACTACAGATGATGTTCCAGGGATCTGTAAGGAGAAGAGACAGACCCATATTGCAATTTGACTTAGGAAAGTTCCACTTTGGGGAAGTAATTAGAAAACACAGTCAGGAAAGGTTTCCAGACGCCTGAGGTCTGGGAGGTTTGAGCGCCTGCTTCTCCAGAACATTTGCTGAGCTTAGTATGTGCTTGACATTAATTCAGTCGAATGCCAAATAGGAGTTTGGGTGGAAAAAAAGTTGAAACATCAAAATTTTGTCAATGTCTAAAGAAAGCTGCAAGTGGAAAAGATATTTCCTCGTAAAAAGATAAAAGCCTGGGAAAGAAGAATGATAAAGAGATGACAGCCATATTATCTTATTAGGAATTTTTGTTCAGCTCAGATACTAAAGTTTAAAGCAAAGGAAAAGCCAGCAACTAACATCAAGCAACCTTTATGGATTTTTTTTTTTTTTCCACGCATCAATACTGCCATCTGCTGCCAGACAGAGAAATAGGACTCAACTACCCATAGCTTTTTAGGTTTTCTGCTTCTCAAGTTCAGACAAAGCAAACCTTTGAATGAAAGGATGTATATGTATATGTATATGTATATATGTATATATGTATATATGTATAGTATATGTATATATGCATATATGTATATATTTATATATGCATATGTATATATGTATATATGCATATGTATATATGCATATGCATATGTATATGTGTATATATGTATATATGCATATGTATATGTATAGATGTGTATGTGTGTGTTGTGTGTGTGTGTATATGTATGTACGTAAAATCAAGTATTCTCTGTTGTTCACTATTTGCAGTTATAAAATTGTCTGAAACAAATTTTGTGGCCCAGCCCTTTAAAATGCATATAAAACCACTGAGGATTTTTTGTGGTCTTACATTATTTCAAATAGCTGGAATTTGTAAAAATAGTTACACGACTTGTACTTTTCCATTTCTTTTCAAAGTTATTTGATAATAGCAGGGAGTCCCTCCAAGTATAACATTTTCTTAGTTGTAAGCTCATGAAGACTGATAGAGTTTAGTGAACACAACAATAAAATTCAGCATGCGTAATATTTTAAAGAGGAAAATGTGCCGACAAGCCCAAGATAAGGCCACCTTCATTCTATTGAGATTATTCAGTTTTAGCTTTTTTTCTCTGTGCTGCAAACCAGTACTGAAGAATGTGTCCTTGTGGTCTTTCAGAATAGATATTGGACAGATTTTTTTTTTTTAACACCACAAGATCAAAGTCTGTTCAATAATGTTTAATTTGAGAACAGAATTTTACATAGATGTTCACACAGATAAATTAATATGGCATTTCCTTTGATCATATTTTCTCTTGAAGAGGCAAATGATGTTAACAGAAACTTGCCCTTAAATGGAAAATATCTGATAAATTATTTGTCTTCTCGCTCTGTATGTCTTCTCATGTAGACAACCCTTTTTACATAGTAGTTGTTCAACTCAATCTTTTAATCCATTGGTTGGAGAGAGATAGGAACTTTCTCTTCTGTGACTCTCATTTTAAATAGAAATTTTTAAAAACAACTCCAGCAATGAATGTTTGAAAGTTCCAGAATACTTCTATCATGAAAAGCCGACATGTGTCTGCTAAATGATCCCGAACTGTTTTCTAAATGTTCTCTGAGAAAACAATTAAACTTTAGTGATTATATCACTGACTGTTCCCCTGAGGGAGAGAATCAACTTTGCATCTGATGACTTCTGCAACCATTAGAAACAGTTCTTGATCACCTGAGGTCGGGAATTTGAGACCAGACTGACCAATACGAAGAAACCCAGTCTCTACTAAAAATACAAAATTAATCAAGCATGGTAGTACATGCCTGTAATCCCAGTTACTCAGGAGACTGAGGCAGGAGAATTGCTTGAAGCCAGGAGGAGGAGGTTGCAGTGAGAGCTGATATCTCATCACTGCACTCCAGCCTGGGCAACAAGAGCAAAACTCTATCTCAAGAAACAAAAACAAAACAACAACAAAGAAAACAACAGTTCTCATTAAGAAAAAACAGCTATAGGGAGCATAGGTATGGTCCCTAAAATCAGGAAAAATAAAATGTAGTGATGCCCTTTTTAATTGATGACCTAAATAAAGATAGAAGATGCTGAATCCTGCACTCATTCTGAGGACACCTAAATTTCTCCATCGATATGCTGTCTAGAGACACTGAGAATCCAGAGAAAGTCAGTATAAAATCAAAAGGAATAACTGACATTACTGAGTTCCAGAAACTATGCATTAATAATTCTTAATGCATCCCTAAAACTACAGTATTGTAAACTTTATAGATTTTAATTAAGCACACATTGGAGAGAATCAAGTAAAATACACACACCTTGCTTTTATTTCACAATTATAACTAAACTTTATAATCATATTTAACAAAAATATACCCTGAAAAATATATTACCACAGTTATGAATTAGAAATAGCATGTACATGATGCACCTGAAAACCTACTCTGCCTTAAAAAGTGCTTGTGACCAGGATAAAGTTATGAGGAAGGCACAAACATGCTACAAACATTAGAAATATCATGAATAAACAACGAATTTGCCAACGTACATGAAACGGACGAAGCCTTTGAAAGACGAAGTTGACCAAAACTGACACTGTACTTACAAACCTTGCTACAAAAGAATCTCCAGGCCCAGATAGGTTCATTAATGAATTCAATCCAACAGTAAAGAATAACTAATACCACTTTTATTCAGGATTTCGATGAAATGTACAGAAAATGCATTTTTCAACCAATTTCATGTGGCCACATTGCTTTTGATAATTTAAAGATACGACAACAAAACACAGCTAACAACTAAATATCCTTCATGATTAGAGATAGAAAGCTCCTTAAAAATGTTATCAAATCAAAGCCTGCAATGTATCAAAATAGGATGATACTACTTGCTCAATTAGATTTATTCTAGCAATGAAGTGTTGGCTTACCACTCAAAAAATCAAGTCTTCTCTCGCCATTTGTACTTAATACTGTACTGGACTTTGAGCCAATACAAGCAGGAAATAAAAATAAATAAATAAATAAATAAATATGCCTACAGATTGGTTCTATTAAGAAGAAATTATTGCTTGCAAAGATCATCCTAAAGAATCCACAAAAAACCCACTAGAACTTAGAATTTAGCAAGAAGCGAGACATTAAATCAATAGACAAAAATTAATTGCACTTCTATATACTAGCAACAAATGGGAAATTAAATTTTAAAAGTTTCAGTAACAGAATGTATTTTAGGCACATATTTCATAAAATATTGACAAAATATATACTGAAACTGATGAAATATTGCAAACAGACAATAACTCCTAAATAGATTCATTATGCTCATGCATTAAAAGGCTTAGTAATGGGATGGGCGCGGTGGCTTCACACCTGTAATCCCAGCACTTTGGGAGGCCAAGGCGGGCAGATCACAAGGTCAAGAGATCGAGACCATCCTGGTCAACATGGTGAAACCCCGTCTCTACTAAAAATACAAAACATTAGCTGGGCATGGTGGCGTGTGCCTGTAATCCCAGCTACTCAGGAGGCTGAGGCAGGAGAATTGCCTGAACCCAGGAGGCGGAGGTTGCGGTGAGCCGAGATCGCGCCATTGCACTCCAGCCTGGGTAACAAGAGTGAAACTCCATCTCAAAAAAAAAAAAAAAAAAAAAAAAAAAAAAAAAAAAAGGCTTATTATTGTTACTACGGCAATTCTCCCCAAACTGATCTATAGATCTAATGCAATTAATCACATTCAATACCACAACAGCCTTTTTTGTAGAAATTAAAGTATTGATTTTGATTTTTTATGAAAGCGCAGAAGACCTGGAATAGCCAAAACAATTTTAAAAAAAGAATTTATTCTTTTTTAAACTTTAGTTGCAGGACTTATAAAAATTCATTTCAAGATTTATAATAAAGGTACAATGAGTGTTGATGTGTATTTGTGTGTATCCCAGAGGACTAGTCTGATGTACATATTTGATATTCACCTCATTTAAAACATGGAAAGTGGCATTTACTGGCCAGGGAAGGAAAGGTAAGTATTCAAAGCAAAAAGGATTCAAGTCAATTTAGGAAGAAAGTATATGAGCAATTAAATCATGAGTAACATTGCTTAATGCTGACAAAAGACCAAGCGATAAACTTTAAAAATACATATGCTTTGAAATCATTGGTGACCTTTGTGTAAGCAGTTTCACTGTAGTGATGAAAGTTGAAGCTAGATTGAAGTGGGCTGAAAAATCAGTGGAGGTGGCGGTGAGTGAGAAAAAATGACAAATGGAAATAAGTCAAGAATTTTATCTGGGAGGAAGAGGAACAGAGTTAAGTTCGTGGCTGGATGAGTCTGAGAGTTTGGATGATGCTTTTCTTAATCCATAGCAAACGCCTGTTCCATTTGCTAAGTGCTAAGAAACTTCTAGGACAAGTTTCCTTTCCCGTTACTGTATTCTGTAACCATTATCCATTTCATCATCATAGAGTGCAATAAAGATTTGGTAGGCACTGTCTGTCTCATATGAAGCAATAACCTCCTTACTTTTCCCTGTTCAGCAGGAAAACATAAAAATTTTTCTTGCCCCTTACACCCAACACCATATGAGCATGATTATGTTCCAACTCCAAGGAAGAGTTTCAGATTAAATTCCATGATTTCTTGACACACTTTTTGTTTACCTTGGTACTGCTCTGTTAGAATTAAGATTTGCATGCTAAATTCTTACCATGAGGACTATAATTTTATTTGTCCCTTTATTCATCCCTTAACACATTCTTAGCTTCATTCTCACTATGAATAGCTCCACTTTCAGTGTACAGATAGCCCTTTTGGATGAAAACTGCAGTACCTGATCTCACTATGCCTCCTGCCCCTTGTTCAACTCCAGATCTGTTATCTCGCAACATTATGCTGTCACACAGTCTACTACTTCTTTGTAAAAAATGGTTTTCCCTCTGCTCTCTGGGACTTGATATAGGTTCTCTCATTTTTTTT